CTAGAGAATTAGTGGATCATGCAAGATAGTGGAATTATGTTCTGACTGTGTTAACCTATACTGTTCAGTTCTCTCTCTCTCTCTCTCTCTCTCTCTCTCATGTGTTTTAAGTACTGTGAGATTGTATTTAACATATGTGCTGAGAAGCCAACTTGAGTAGGTTATTCCAGTTACCATTTATATGTCCTTCTGTCCTGGCGCTATGCAGATTCCTTTTCATTCATAATTTGCTTAATTTAATGGTTATAAATAAGAGTTATTTTATAGATGGAGAAGCTGAGGTTCAGAGAAGTTCAATAACTTTCCCACTGTCTCATGAGATGAATGTCTAAGATTCATGATGCTGCTCAGAATTTTATGACCCAGGATTCAAATGCAGGTCATTCCTTGATTCCAAAGCCCATGCATGCTGTTAAATAACACACTGGAAAGTTTAAAATTCTGCTCAGGTATAAGGAATTTATCACCACATGTTGTTCAAGAGGATAGTTTTTTTAACTCTGTCCTCTGTGTAGTCTCCCTCTCCCTCTTGAACTTCAGGTGTCTGTACATATTCCTCAATCAGCTGGTTTTACCCAGTCATTTTGGATAGGAAAGCATTGTTTAATGATCAACCAAAGCCATCAGGCAAATTCATTTGGACCTTCTAAAATTAGAAATGTGGAGGGTTTTTTTGTTTGTATGTTTGTTTTTAAAACTTTAAAAAGCCTATAAGTTGGGCTGGGGTTGTAGCTCAGTGGCAGAGTGCTTGCCTTGCATATGTAAGGCACTGAATTCGATCCTCAGCACCACATAAAATAAATAAGCAAAATAAAGATATTGTGTACATATATAACTAAAAAAATATTAAAAAAAAAAAAAAAAACCTAGGGCTGGGGTCTTGGCTCAGCGGTAGAGTGCTTGCCTAGCATGTTTGAAGCCCTGGGTTTGATCCTTAGCACCACATAAAAATAAATAAATAAATAAAAGGTATTGTGTCCAATACAACTAAAAACAAAAATAAACAAATATTTAAAAAAAAAACAAAGCCTATATGTTGGAGGCCATATGTTTGGATTTGAATCTTCTTTCTGTGTGATCAGGTGCCAGTTGATTTCAGATTCTTAATTCCCTGCCTAGTTAAACAGGTACAATAACTTTTACCTGTAGTCATTGCTGAGAGCAGTAAGTGAGATAATGTGAGAAAAACGCCTGGCATATAGGAGATGATCAGTATTGTTTGCCTCCTCATTCCTGGCCCTTGAGTAAATATGGCATTTAGGACTCCAGGAATTTTAAGAAACAGAGTTAGTATCTCTAGGTGATTGGAAAGGAACTTCAGAAAATTACAAAGAGGTGTCTTTTATAGCTGGACAATCAAATGAAATATAAAAAAGCTAGGACAACTAAAAAATTAGCATTGAGGTGTGGGGAGCCACAACTATATCTATGTCAAGCTGTTGTTTAAAGGTGCTACAGTGTTCAGAGGACAAGAGCAGCCACAGGTAGTTATGATTCCTCCCCAAGGGGATAGAAGCACTGAGGATGTATTCTCATTTGAGAGCTGCTGAAAAGCAAGGAGAGACAGAGGACTATAGTGTGTTTCTTTAGCTCATACAGTGTGTGACAGTTGTATGTCTGGACTGAGCCTCAGTTTACCTTTCCATAAAGCTGTGGCCCTCCCACCTAACTCTGAAAGTAAGAAGGGATTCATAAAGTTGTATGGTGGGATAATAAGCTCCTGGATATATAATGAGGCTCCTGGAAAACCAGAGCGGTGCCCATGGCAGCACACTGGGTGAGTTGGAGTGCTGGTCCTTACACAGCCTCTGCTGTCCACCTTGTCAGCCCACAGTATCTATTAAACTTCTTCAGTGTGCTAGGCATCCTTGCCTAGGAATAAATGTGTTCAAAGCTAAGTCCATACCCTCACACAGCTTACAGTGTAATTCAGGAAATAATACAAGATATAAGTGATGAATAACAATATGAAAAATAAGTAATTTTCCCATGAAATCTTGTAATTAAAGGTTCTAGCATAGAAACTGGCCTAGAAAGGATGTTTATAATCTTAGCTTCCCCTTTTTTGTAAATATACAGGTTTTTCCAAGGCAAAATAGGTCCCCCACTTGGCACAGTACACTGTGCATAGAAGATATTAATGCTGTTGAACCAATGATCGAATGTGATTGCTAATACAGGTAATGGCAGTAAATCCTGCAGAAGTTCAGAGGTCTGAGTTGTTGGGGGCAGATTTGATGAGGAAGGTTGCTATTGAGCTGGATGGTCCTGAAGGATTTGTACAATTTAGAAAAGTGTGAGAAGGGCTGATGCATTTCCTTGTCTCAGAGGAGGCACTATGCGGGGTTAAAGCTAATGCTTTGGGGTCAGGCTGGGGGTCCAATCCCAGCTCTGCCGCTTATTTGCTATGTGACCCTGAGCAAGTTCCACAGCCTTTCTTCATTTCCTCACTTGTAAAATAGATAATAATTGTCTCTACTTCATTGGGGTTTTGTGAAAATTAGATAATCCATATAGAGTACTTATTACATTTCTGTTAATAAATGTTAGCTTTTGTCATTATTATTATTTTCATTTTGATAGTATTATCATTATTATCTTACCTTTGCCCACCTACTTATCTTAACTCATAAGACCCTTTGTTATCTCACTGCCTGCTGTAGTTTCCTTATAAAAACTTATTTCATTATAGCAAATCACCTACTCTTGGATTTGTTGTGGTGCTTTGTGCTTCCATGTCTAGAGTATTACCGTCTTCCCCTCTATTGCCTTTGTCTGACTCTGCTTGATGTTTAAGACTGAGTCATGAAACGTTTCTTCCAGGAAACCTTTCTTGACAGGGTCTGATTAGATGTTATCTCCCTGGGTTCCCACAGTGCCATCTCCACCTCTTTCATAGCAGTGCCAACTGTGCTTACCCTGGTTCGCTTACCTACCTTGCCTCAGGATATAACTTCTTGAAGATAGTGATCATACCTAGTTTATTTTGATATTCCCAGATTCTAACTTAGTGCTTGGTGTATAGTTGTTTCCCACTAAATGATGGATTAAAAACCTAAACATAGAGCTGGGTGTGGTGGCAAATGCCTGTAATCCCAGCTACTCAGGAAGCTAGGGTGTAAAGATCACAAGTTAAAAGCCAGCCTGCACAATTTAACAAGACCCAGTCTCAAAATAAAAACAGAAAAGGGCTGGGGGTTGTAGGTCAGTTGCCTAATGCATGCAAGACTGTGGATTTTATCCCCAGGACTGAGGGGAAAAAAAGAAACCCTAAACAAAGAAATGTAGCTCACATTATGTGTAACACCTACTACGCAGGATCATTTACTCCATAGATTTAAGTGCTGTATGTATTTTAACTTATTTACTTATAGCAATATTATGAGGCAAGTACTATTTCTACTTCCATTTTATAGAAGAGAAAACTGGGGCTCACAGACATTAAATTACTCCCCCCCAGGCTACATAACTAGCAAATAGGTGGAGCCAGAATTCAAACCCAGCATCCTGTAGCTCCACAGTTGTGCTTTAACCATTGCATTGTGTCTATAGGAGTGTTACGGAGATTTGTTTTTGTTTTGTATCAGGAATTGAACCCACAGATATTTTACCACTGAGCCACATCCCCAGCCCTTTTAAAAAATTTTTTGACACAGGGCCTTGCTAAGTTGCTGAGGCTGGCTTTGAACTTGCGATCCTCCTGCTTCAGTGTCCCAAAATGCTGAGATTACAGGCATGTACCACTTCGTCCAGCATGTTACTGAGATTTGTGATAAGGATGTTTATTGAATGTCCAAGAAAAGGTGAAGAAACATTAACCAAAAATCACTCCATGACACATTTCAGAATTAGTCAGTGTATGGAGAAACTGTTGTGGATGGATCTTACCACTCACTTCTATAAACTATTTGCTAGAGAAGTGGAACTTTATCTGTTGTGAACCTCTCTAAGGCGTGATGAAGTATAAAATTTAAGGGCAAGAGGAAGGAGGGAGTATGTGTATGGAGAAACTAAATTTGCCCTGTCTTTATTGAGCACCTATTATGGTGGTTAATAGGCTGATGGTGATCCCTGTGCTGAAGAGCCTATGGTCTAGCAGGTTATAAAAAGATTGATCTGGTTAAAGAGAAAGGCAGGAAAAGAGACTTAGACTAGGCATGAACTGAAGAAAAAGTTGAGACTCCAAATGAGAAGTCAGAGTTTGCTGAAGAAAAAGCAACATATAAAGAAAATTACTGGGCTGGGGCTGTGGCTCAAGCGGTAGCGCGCTCGCCTGGCATGCGTGCGGCCCGGGTTCGATCCTCAGCACCACATACCA